TTTTAGGTTTTTTTGTATTCTTCGTTTTATTATAAGCTAAAATAAAACGAAAGATTATTTGCGCTTATTTTTTCTTTATCGCCTCAAAAACTTATTTCTGTTTAGATTATCTAAAAAAATCATCATTTTTGCTTAAACTTTGTTGTTGCTGGTCATGGAGAGAGATACTAAATGGTGCAAAAATTATCCATATAGAAAATTGAAAACCTTTACAAAAAAAAAGAAAAAAAAATACGAAAAAAACAGAAAAAACGACAGAATGAAGAGAAAGAAAAGAGAAAAAGAAATAATAGAAATAGACTGAATTAATACTAGAATATAAAATAGTGACTGTAATGACTCACTCTGTATTTTTATTTAGTTACTTTTGCTTTTTTGTTTTCATTCATATTCAGATGGTTAGCTGTAAATTCGTATTTATCCATCGCTTAAAATTCGAATTTTGACTTTTCTTGCGATTATATTATTATACTAATTTAGGGTAAATGATTAATAAATATGTGACGATACTATATGTAACACAAAAAATTTAAACAGTTTATAGAAGTTTCTAAATATTGACAGATTTTTTAGAGGGTGAGTCATAGTGAAAAAATTCAAAGTAAAAACCAATGTTCATAAAATTAAGTCTAAAATACGTATCAAACAAATTATTCATACAGTAAATATAAAAAATACAAAATGGGAAAGAACAAAAGATACTTTTGTGTAAAATGTTCGTTGCGAAAACATGTTTAAACAAAATAAAATGGAAGAAAAATAATTTTATCCTAAAAATTCAATGCTAAAATGTTGAAAAACAAAAAGTAAGTAACAGGTTCCTAGAAACGAAAGGACTAGGGAGGTACTTAACACGCCCCACCACGAACGTCACATTTCAGACTCAGTTCTTAAGATATTAACAAGGGCCCCTGCGCAAGAATAATTAGCAAGGGCTGGAAGCAGTGCGCACATGGTGATCAGTCAGTTTGTTTTTGACGCTTTGCGATATTCCCGTTTTGCTTAAAAATATTTTGTACAATTTTTGTTTTGCGTGCGTACTTGCTTGTTAATGAACATTTTTTAATTTAATGAAGAATTTTTGCTTATTTTTTTTAATATTTGGTTTTATGTTTGAACATTTTAAGAAAAATACAATTTATTTTCAAACTTTTTTAACTGATACACTTGTATGTGCGTATGTGCCTTAAACTGGACTTATGCATTATGTCAATTTTATATTTACTTTACTTTTTAATAGCCCAGTTAAATTAGACAAAAATAGGGCGATCGGTGGAAAAAAATCCTAGTTGGAATTTCTTTTAAACGCTTTTTTTACACTTAGATAGACATACCAGGTGAATAAAAAGTATGGAACCAAACGTTTTTTGCTCAAACTATTTATTTTTTGAAAAAAGTAATTGATGAGTGATAAACTACTATAAAAATGTGATGATTTAAAAAGAATAAAATTTTTCGAAATTTTCTTTTGGTTTTGAGTTATACAAAAAAAAATATTTTTTTTAAATGGCAACCCAGTATAAAATTATTTTTCTCATAAAAGCTATACTCTAAGGATTACAACTAACTGCTTTATATTTAATTTTTTCAAAAATTTTTTTTTACATAAATTGCAATTTTGACAAAAAAATTCGCATAACTCAAAAACAAAACAAAATTTCGTTCCGATAATACGATCACATTTTTTATATTACTTTAATTTATATTAATTATTATTTCCTGTCAGCCTAAAACAAAAATGCAAATCATTTTTGTAGGAAATTTTGTAACCTTAAATTTTGATAAGCAGGAGATATAAGCAAAGCTTATATATAAATATAAGCAAAGAACCAAAAAACAAAAAACACCTTTAACCTCCTCCCCCTCCTCAAGCTCGCCACCCATCTTCGAGGACTTTTGATATATGGCTACCCAAGTGTAAAGAAAGCTTTTAAAAAAAAAATCAATTCTAGTTTTTTTTTCCACCGATTTGTTTAATTTGACTGGACTATAATGTTATAAAGTTGGTAGTAAAATTTGACTTATTCAGTTGAGTTTTGGAATTGCTTTTGAGCAAAATGACGGAAAATGTGAAAAATTCGTGTTTTCATGAATTCATAAGAACTTTTTGGGCACTGTAACCTAAAAATCAGTAAAAACACCACTTATCCGTGATAACAATTTATTAATAAGATTGTAATCATTGAATCGTAATCTCTTGTAGGTTTTTCCTGTCTGTCGGCTTGCTTTTCCTTTTCCGGTACAAATCACAGTTCCTTGTGCTAAAAATAGCCTTGATTCTTCATTGCCGATGGTTGGTAATCCGTGCAATAATGGCCACCAGTGCTGTAGGTGCGAAGTCCGGGCCTGGCGCCTCGCCGGCGCCACCTATCCCCTCTCCTCGGTCTAGACCGGTGTCGAGTTTATCCGAAGTGTCTCGACCGTCTCTCGTCTCATCTTCAGTGCTGCCAGCCTCGTCAGTGACAACCCAGCAACCGTATCGAGTGATGTGTGGTGGATGTTGGCGCAATCGCCCGTCCTCCTCCGGTGTCCGGTAGTATACATCAAAAATCCAAATAAAATCCAAGTGCTATGAAGTGTCCTCTGGTGTGAGAGTGTAGTGTGCGTGCGGCGTGTCACCAGTGGCCCCCAAATGCTGGTTACATGTTCATGTTCCGGAGCAGACGGGCCACTCTGACCAAACGGCTGCTGAAGGCGCGCAGACGACGGGGGGCCGACGACGATGGTGACGGCGTGATGGTGCTCCTCAAACAGCTCCAGGAGAACCAGCTGGGGATGCTGTGGACGGCGGTGGAGAGCCGAGGCCGAGATGGAGGCAATAATTGCGTGTTGATGCCGAGAGAGCGACAGCCGCACGTGCTGTGTTGCCAGACGTGGCGGTGGCCAGATCTGCTCCAGAGCGCCGACTTGAGGAGGCTCCCGGCCTGCAGGTCGGCCTTGGATCCCGTCTACGTCTGCTGCAACCCCTACCACTGGAGTCGCGTTTACCAACCCGGTAGGTACACCGTCAAGTCTTCCGGTTCCGAAAACTGCAACAAAACTATTAGATTTTGTCGAAATTTAAAGGGGACTCGCGGCTTCGCCGCTCACCCCCTTCTTAATAGCTTTATTTAACGGCAATATCCTTTACATTAAGTAATAATAAAATTATAATAGAAAACAAGCAACATATAAACATAATTAAAAAATACAAAATGACTAACTCAAAGAAACGTTCAGAAAACGCTTAAAGCTATTAAAGGATTTAAAATTAAAAAAGTCCAACTTGACACTGTACATGTTACAAATTCTTAAAAGATCATTTAGCGGAGAATTAAATAGTTAATTATTATGTGCAAACGAAATTTTTAATAATTGGTTAGATCTGCTATCATACTGTGGAACGTGAAAATTAATTAAATTTAGTATTAGACCTCACACTATCTGATTTGCAAATGTAAATTCAATCTCAACGAAAACACAAAATGTCATAATTAAAAATTGAAGCCGATTTAGCGAAAAACTGAAAAATTTACCAAGTTTGCCAACACTTAATCTGCTGTTGGGTTTTTTTGGTCACTGACATACACTTTGACTATTAAAATAAGTATGTTTATGAAAAGTCAATAAAAACGTAGAAAAACATTAAGAAACAAGTACAAAGTGTCTTTAGGTACGAGTTTTTGCTTTAAACAAAACAATAAAGAAAAAGTTTAATAATTTGACATCTGATTTGACGGCTTGAAAATTATTGGGCGGCACAATTCCATGGCAGTCTTGATGTATGTTCTTTTATTGACATTATGTACGTCAATGTTGTCATTTTATTTAGTTATTTTTTAGTACAATTAATTAACTACAAATAACGATTATTTGACAGCCACTTAACTGCAATTAAAAAATATAGATATTAAAAAAAACTGAATAAAAATAAAATTGGCTTAAAATTGTCAAGTTCAAAAAAATGACACTGGTATACAGGTGTCCCAGAATTGTAACAATTATGATTCAGAAAGTGTTAATATAAAAACTAGGTCATCAAGTTTTAAATAAAAAGTAAGTAAGTAGTGGTAGATTTTGTAGAAAAGTGATAACCCGCCACTGGAGTAAATTTCTGTGGCTGTATTTCTATAGCAACAATAGCATTTCTATAGTAACTATACGGATATTCTTATATCTGCTTCTCAGGCGACTCGTCTATGGTGGGAAAAAGAGTTTTTAAATGAAATTAGAAAATATGAATGTGTCTTAAAAAAAAATGGAATTTCTTTCTATAAGAGAAAATCAGCACTGACAAATAACTGACAGTTGTTTTTTCTTATTTCAGTACTCGTCTTTCAAAAAAATTAAATTTTATAAAAAAGTAGTTGAGTTTTAACAATTATTACCCGCCACTGGCTTGAATTTTCTATTGTTACTATGACATTTATTATTTTGACATTTATATAGCAGCTATACGGATTTTCTCCCATTTGGTTCTCAGACGACTTGTCTAGGGTGGGAAAAAGGGTTTTTAAATGAAATAAGAGCATATCTTTCTTTAGAGAAAATCAGCAATCGAAAGAAAATTTGAAATTTGTCTATTGTGAAATATCGAAATGACAAATAATTGACAGTTGTTAATATCACCAATTTTTGAACAAAATGTGGTGGAAGATTTTATAAGAAATGATTACCCGCCACTGGTTTGAATTTCTTATTGTTACTATGACATTATTTTTGATTTCTATAGCAACTACATACTTGACTAGTCTAGGGTGGAAAAAAGGGTTTTTACATAAAATTAGAAAAAAATTTAGATAAATTTTAAGTTTCAAGAAGAGAAAAATCATCAATTACCACCTAAATTTTTTTTTAAATTTATCTATTTTGAAATATCGAAATGTTAACAGTGAATGAAAAATAATTGACAGTCGTTTTCCTTATTTCTTATTTATTTATATTCTTATAAAAAAAATGGCATCAATTTTTAAATAAAAATTGATTAAAAAACAATGATTACCCGCCACTGGCTTGAATTTGTTATTGTTACTGACATAAATTATAATTTTTGTTACATTTCTATAGTAACGGTACGATTTCTACAGTAACTATACGACTTTTCTCTCATTTGCTTCTCAGACGACTCGTCTAGGTTGGGAAAAAGGGTTTTTAAATAAAATGACAAAGTATCTTTAATAAATTTGGAGTTTCTTGAAGAGGAATCAGCAACCGACAAAAACTTGAAATTTGTCTATTGTGAAATATTGAAATGGTAACAGTTAATAACATATTATTGACAGTTGTTTTTTCTATTGCAGTAATTAAGTCTTCTAACAAAATTAAAATGTTATAAAAAACTATCAATTTTTGAATAAAAAGTGGTGGAAAATTTTATTAAGAAATGATTACTCGCCACTGACTTGAGTTTCTTATTGTACTATGACATTGATTATTTTAGTATGATTTCTATAGCAACGACATATTTGACTTGTCTAGGGTGGGAAAAAGGGTTTTCAAATAAAATTATAAAAATATCTGGATAAATTTTAAGTTTCTAGAGGAGAAAAATCACAACTGATAGAAAATTTTAAATTTGTTGAAATGTTAACACTGAATGACAAATACTTGACAGTCGTTTTCCCTATTTCAATAGCCAAGTTTTCAAAAAAATCGGAAATATATAAAATTTATCAATTTTTGAATAAAAAATATTGAAAGGTTTTTTAAGAAATGATTACCCGCCACTGGCTTGAATTTGTTATTGTTACTATGACATTGGTTATTTTTGTTACATTTCTATAGCAACTATGGCAGGGAAAAGGGTGTTTCACTATTGGTAGCACTGAAACCAGAGTCTTAATTATTTCTGGGACGCTTTTTTTATTTTTGTACGCTTTTTTGGGTTTTTGTCATGTTTTTTTGTGACCTATATTGGGAGTGAGACTTGCGACTTCCACTTTAGCTCCACAGTTTACGAGGTTACTGCATTGATAACATTTTTAGTGAATGCATCAAAACAAGGTCGCTTAACTAATCAGAAATGCGCTGGTAAATATCGATAATGGATTCTTGTTGGAAGTTGGAATTTATGCGGTTCTGTTATGAATATTCACGGTAATTAAAGTATGGCAGACTATTTATAACATTTTTGTCGTTTTGTTTGTCACATTTTTGAAAAATTTTGACACAAATGATGAAAAACTTGTAATTGAAAATCTGGTGAAATGAGCGTGGGAGTTGACATTAATTCAATTTTTAAACTTTTGCCAAAACCTGATTTTGTAGTGGTACGAAAATAGTCCATTAATCATGTTTTTAAAAAATTGACATGAAAATATCACCACACTTACATAATTGGTTCGTGTGTATGGAGAGTTTTCAAATTACAGGTTGGCGAACCTGTAAACTTGTATTGTCATACAATTTCGTACAATATTTGACATTGACACGGTTACATAAGCGACGTTTATTTATATTTGCTTTCTTATCATTTAAAACTGTCAAAATCGTTTTGCGGAATCAAAACAGTTCTTACGAAAATGATAGCAGATGTCATCGTTATCACCCAATTTTCATCATGACATAAATATTGGCGTTGCGTTTCGAGATTCCTCTAGCGGTCGCAGTTGGCTCATCCGGCCGACCAGCCCACTGGATTCCAGAGCAATTTCTTGGAACGATGCGTCTTTGTTTTCGCCCTTCTTATAATAATTCAGGATTTTGCTCGAAATTCGAGTTATTATTAAGCCCACGAGTCTCGCAGGCCGTAATTATTTTGAAGAACTCGATTGGGCACATGTCTGGGTTGTGAGTCGCCAGGAGATAGCAATGGCGCCACCAGACCCGACCAGGTCTAATTCCACCGGGTGGTAGTCAACGGATCGTCTGCCTTTCAAAATACCTGTCTTCTGTCTCTCTCGCACTGTTAAGTGCTTCGCGGTTGGTACCACTGCGCGTGCTTTGCCCCGAAAACGCCTAAATTGAAATTGAAAATGTCCCGGAATTGTAACAATTATGATTCAGAAAGTGTTAATATAAAAAACTAGGTCATCAAGTTTTAAATAAAAA